TAAAAGTTAAGGGAAGCTTAACATTAGTGACTGTGACATGCATGATCAAACTTATGAAATGAATAAAGGCCAGAGCAGTAATCTATACATTTTGTGCTTTGGTGCTTTAATAGGGCCAGTTTTACAAAGCTGATAATAATGATAAGGTATATCAGTTGGAAGGAAGAATTTCATCAGAAAAATGTGAATAATTAGAAATCATTTAAGGATTTGTTACAGAAGGGTAGTTATGTTAGTCTGTTTCAGCAAAGACAACAAAGTGTCCTGTGGCACCTGGAAGACTAACAAATTTATTTGAGCATAACCTTTTATGAGCTGGAGCCCACTTTGTCAGATGCATTAAGTGGAAACTTCAGTTTGGCAGGGATATATACATACATACAAAAATGGGAGCGTTACATTATTATGTGGAAGACTAGTGCTAATGAGGCCAATTCAATCGGGATGGATGTGGCCCACTCCCAACAGTTGATAAGATGTTGAGAAAACCACAAATGGGAAAATTACTTTTGTAATGAGAGCCATTTCCAGTCTCTATTTAGACCCAGACTGACAGTGTCAAGTTTGCATATGAATTTCAGCTCTGCAGTCTGTTTTTGAAGGTTCTTTGCTGAAGTATGACAACTTTCAGGTCTGCTACTGAGTGTCCATAGAGATTGAAATGTTCTCCTACTAATTTTTGAATGTTACCTTTCTTGATATCCATTTATTCGTTTGTGGAGAGACAGTCTGGTTTGGTCAATGCACATGGCAGAGGAACATTGCTGACACATGATGGCAAATATCACATTGGTAGATGTGCAGGGTAAAGGAGCCTCTGATTTATGGCTGATGTGGTTAGGTCCTATGATGGTGTCACTAGAGTGGAACTGCATACCACACTAAAGAAATGGCAATCCTAGAATTAATCCCTCCAACAATCGCCAAAGGCCACAATCCCACAATTGAGTAAAAAGGCCATGGTGGTTAAAAAAAACCTGGTTTAGTGGAGAAGACAAGGCAGCTGTAAAAAATAAAATAAAATACACAAATGAAAGAAAGGAGAATTTGATAGTAATGCATATAAATCTGAAGTTAAGAATTATAAAAAAAATTATAGAAGCCAAGAGACATAGGAGAAATTTATGGCCAGTAGAATTAGAGACAATAAGGAGCTTCTTAAATATCTTAGGAACAAAAAGAATCTGGACAGTGGTATCAGACTCTTACTAGATGGACATGGTAGAATTATCATTACTGGTGCAGAAAAGAAAGAGATGTTCAATAAATATTTCTGTTCCATAGTAGGAGAAAACAGATGACATTTTTAAATTAGCAGGTACAAATAACTTACATCCAATAATTTTAAAAGAGATAGCAGAGGAATTTGTTGGACTATTAATATTGATATTCAATAAGGTTTGGAATGATGGAGAAGTTCCAGAAGACTATAAAATAGGTGTCAAATGGTGTGCCAATTTTTAAAAAGAGTACATGGAATGACATGAATAATTACGGGTCTGACATTGATCCCAGGCAACATAATGGAGTAGCAAATATGGGATTCGATTAATAATACACTAAAGAAAGGTAGTGTAATTACTGCAAATTAGCATGGATTTATGGAAAATAGATCCTGTCATACTAACTTGATATTGTCTTTGATGAGACCACAAATTTGACTGATAAAGGTAACAGTGTTGAATTAATATGCTTAGACTTCTGTAAAGTGTTTGATTTGAGACCACATTACATTTTTATTAAAAAACTAGAATGTAACATAAAATTAACATTAAATGGATTAAAAAGTGGCTGATAGGTCACAAAATATAATTGCAATCAGGGAATCATCATGAACTATAATTGCTTCCACTTAGAACTTGCAGGAATCGATTCTTGGCACTTTTCTATTCAACATTTTTATCTATAACCTGGAAAAAAACAAGTCATGACTTATTAAGTTTGCAGAATACACAAGAATTAGGGCAGTGGTAAATAAAAAAGGACAGATCATTGACTCTGACTGATCTGGATCACTTTGTAAACTTGGTGTTTTAATATAGTTAAATGTAAATCTATACATCTAGAACAAAAATATAGACCATGCTTATATAAAATAGGGACATCTATCCTGGGAAGCAGTGAAAAAGATTTTTGGGAGGTGGATAATCAAGTGAATATAAACTGCCTGTGTGACCCTATGGTCAAAAGAGTTAATGCAATCCTGCAAAGTATCCTAAAGGAATCTCAAATAGGAGTGGTGAGATCATTTTATTTCTGTATTTCGTACTGGTACCATTGCTGCTAGAATACAATTTTAGTGGCCAAAATTTAAGAGGAATATTAATAAATTGAAATGTTTCAGAAAAGAGTCATGAGAATGATTATAGGATTAGAAAACATCCCTTTTAGTGACAGACTAAAAGAGCTCAATCTATTTAGTTTAGAAAAGAGAGGGTCATGGTGACTTGATTAGTCTATAAGTATCTACATAGAGAACAAATGTTTTATAATGGATTCCTCATTTTAACAAAGGTCTAACACGATCCAATGTCTGAAAATTGAGTTAGACAAATTCAGACTGAAGAGAAACCATACGTTTTTAATTATTAGAATAAATTTTTATTGGAACAATATACCAAGAGTTCTGGTGGAGTCTGTAACTGACAATTTTTAAATCAAGATTGGATTTTTTTCTAAAACATAAGCTGTAAGAATGATTTTAGTGAAGTCTGTGCTGTATAGAGGCTCAGATTAGATGATGATAACAGTCCCTTCTGGCTTTAGACTCTATAAAGCTATGAATCTACTGTTGGATAAAGGACAACTGAGAGATGGATCAAGATAATTCAGAAAGATAGAGCTAGACAAGATTGAACAAATGGAGATAAAATGGAGTAATCATCCCAAAGTATTGGTGAGCCAATTAGTCCAGCATTTGTCCCAAAGACTCAGTTTGGAGGTCTTGTTAGATTTAAAGTAGCTAAAGTAGTAATTATGATCAAGAATATTCTTTTAATTGATGTTGATGAAACTACCACGATATGATTACTTTCCCTGGATATTGTTATTGCTATAGTTATCCATACATTTGCTACCAACATAGGATGGCTGCAATTGGCTTTACATGGGGCTAAAATGGACTCATTTAAAAGCTGAAGTTAGTACCAGTTGCTACTCCTTGCTTATTAAGGAAACATTACACAGTACACTGATAACAAGTGTAGATAACAAAGTACCTGTTAGGATAAGAGCATTATTCTATGTTGTTACCTAAAAAGCTTAAGTTGTTTGGGATCTGGCTATCCCATGAGGTTATCCGTCTCATGCAATACTGCTGCAGTTGTGATTGGCAGAGACACTTGAGCTGCATCCTCTTACACACCTCTTTTAAGTGGAAAACAGCTGCTGCTAAGGCATTTTTCTTGAAGTGTTTTTAACTCTGAACGTTGTTATTCACTAGAGTCCAGATTTGTTAATCTTCAGTTACATTGTTTGTAGTTTACACATTATCATCATGCAGACATCTAGATTCATTAATATATCTTATAAATAAATTATATAAGCCATGCACTGAAAGGTAGATAAAAGGTGAAAGATTTATACGATCCAAAGAGAAAACCAGAATAAGAAAAGGCCTTCTATATAGATAGCATCCATAGTATGTGAATGGGAAATTTTACTGCCAAGAATACTTAGAAAGCAAACTGAATATTTCAAAATATATTTTGTTTTCTGATTTGATAAGTAATGTTCTTAAATTCAAGTGATTATTAAACCATAAGTAATTCAAAATCTCTTGGCAAGTTAAAACTTTTTCTTTATATGTCTGTGGTAGTTCCGCTTACATGCCATGACAGTCATTTGGATGGAGTCCACAAGTTTCAGTTCTAAAGCCTCTTTTCTATCTTCTCCTTATTTGTATCTATAACTATCAATCTTGTTATAGTCATCTGCCTCTCTTTCACACATATACTACCTGTTCCATCTCTTCTGTCTTGACAAATAAAACTTGTGGATATTAGTTTCACTTCCTGTCAGCTACAGATGGTGAAGACAAAAATACTTCTTTTGGGCGAGATGAGTATCCTTAAACAGCATTTTTTTTCTTCAACATTTCTTCCCCACTGCGGGTGCAGGAGTCGGAGTAAGAAGTCCTCCAGCTTGACAATATTTTGACATTTCAAAATAACTGCCTGCTGAGTAGACGTGGACTAAGTTATTTCAAAATAACGCTAGGTATTTTGAAACAATGTTGCTGTGTAGATGTACCCTCAAATTGTAACTTGTCTCTAACATTAACTATGGGCCATATTTACCATCATCATCTTGACCTTCAATTCTTCTCCTCCTTTCACATTTGCATAAAAAAATCTGGGTACAGTCACCTACGTAACAATGGCTATGCATATAACTGCTTCAACTTAAATCTCTGTATATAAATTCATCTCATTTCATCTTCATTTTTGCAAAGCCATAGTCTATGGCCTCCACAGCTATAAGATGTTAAACATCTTTCTTCCCACATACTAAAAAAATTTGAAGATCTCACTCCCTCCTCAAACACCTCCACCCTATTCAGTTCAGGACCCCATTCAATCCAAAAGCTCTCTTCCTGTTTTTAAGCTTCCAAATGAACTTAAAATGTCACTAAGGCAGACTTTCTCCATTCACTTAGCACCATTGTCTTCTCTGTCTTTTCACACATCATCACTATAGCTCTAATATTTACCCATTCTTTTGTTTCTTCCTACCATTGAAGTCAACCTTTTCTTTTATCTCTCATACTCAACAAATTTTCATCTTTTCAGATCTTAACTTTATATATATTCCAATGCTTATGACTATATTCTTTCATATATAAAATGTCTTTTTGTAAATGTTATGTAAATTCTACCATATGCCAAAATCACAATTTGTAATGCTTGAGTACTTAGGGATACAGATCTATTTAAGATGTTATACCAATAAAGTTGAATTACATCACAATATAAAATCCGTAACTGAGTTTTAAAACCTACCTGTGTGTTTTAGCTTGCTTTACTTGGATGGCTTGATGCAATTCTTCAGGCACTGTTAAGTAAGTGGTAGATTCCACTAAAATAACCCTGGGGGCAGGGGAGGAAGCAAACACACAGTCTTACAATACATGGTATTTACAAAATGAAAGTTTACTACTTTATCTAAAAATCTGAAATGTACTTTGTGAAGAAAATTATTATTATCCTCATATTGGAAAACATAAAAAGTACACTAAAATGTCAAAAAAATATATGGGACAAGAAGTTTACTTTTCTTCTAAATTATAACTCAGGTTTAAAATTCACAAATATTCCAAAATATTTCTCATATCTTATGTCATAATTAACTTCTATGTAATTTAATAGTAGGAAAAATTAGTTACTAGCCTTCCTATAACTACATACATACTGATGAAGTGTTTTTTACCCACAAAAGCTTATGCCCAAATAAATCTGTCAGTCTTTAAGTTGCCACAGGACTCCTCACTGTTTTTGCAGATACAGACTAACAGTACGTCTAGATTACATCCCTTTTCTTGAAAAAGGGATGTAAATTAGACACTTCGAAATTGCAAATGAAGGTGGGATTTAAATTTCCTGTGCTTCATTTGCATAATGGCGGCCACAGGTTCTTTTTAAAGGGGCTTTTCAAAAGAAAAACGGCTGTTTAGACGGGGATCATTCAAAAATAAAACCCTTTTTCGAAAGATCCTGTACTCCTCATTTTTGCTTTGAGTGATTGAATATGTCCATTCCAATGTAGGTGGCTCACAAACAATTTGATCTGCAGGTGGAGTTAGAGTCTCTCTGAACAATGATTGTAGAACACTGTGCCCAAATCTCACATAATTCCCGGACATATAGCAATAGTATAATGATGGCTAATGTGTGCACTGATGACCAAGTCACCACTTTGCAAATGTCCAAAATAAGTACTTGTGTCAAGAAAGCAACTGATGTGGTGTTATCTAATCCCATAGATATAATGACAATGTGCGGTGATTGGCAAAGGACCTGTTCAACTGATCTGTCAGTGTATTCTATATCCCTGAAAGGTAAGCAACTCTGAGATGAATGGAGTTGGTGATGAAGAATTCTCCAAGGACAACCATTTCCTGTCACAATCATATAGATCAGGTTCCTCTTATGTCTGTTCAAATAAAATAAAGTTACTACGTTGTCTGTTAACACTAGCAGATTTTTTCCCTTTACATGTGGAAGGAAGATCAAATGTGCCAGATGAACAGCTCACAATTATCTGACCTAATTTGATTAGGTCTTCAAATTTTGGACAGATCAAGACTGCAGGATTCCAGTGTGGGATCCCCAATCAAGGGCTAATGGATCTCTGCCTAAAGTAAGGGCTGATTATGATAAAGGGGATCCCCATACAAACTCTCTTAATCACCAGTCCTAAGACGACAAGATTAGCATTGGTACTCATACCACAATAGCTATATGATGATGACATAGCAGGGAATACACAGAAGATAGCCATCCTTGTAGCTTTCTTAGGTGTAATCTGGTATGCTACCATATGCATTAGGAGCCAGTGACAGCTGCATACTGTGCTTCCATAATATAATTTTAGTTTCAGAATCAAGCCCACAGTATTTCTAACTTTCATTGCGGTAAAAAAATCTCTGTTCTTCACAGAGTCCAGGACTGTTCCAATAAATTCTCTGGACTGGTTTCAGTAATATTTTGTTCACATTGACTAGGCGTCCCAGCCCAGCAAAGGTAAATTGAGTAATGTCTACACCTTTTAACAAGTCCTCGTGAACTGTATAATCATCTGGTGTGAAATAGTTATATAATGCCTCTATTGACACCTCAGGTGATGGGGAAAGAGGAAACGCAGAGATGCTGAGGCAGAATTTGCTCTACTTCCTTTTTCGGTGGAATTTCCAGGAAGAGACTCTCTTGCTTGGCACCAGTACCAATGACAGAAAGACGATGTCTCCAGTGCAAGTGCTCCTGACATGGACCCAAGGAGACAGACTGAGATGGATGAGTGGATGAACTAGCAGCTATGGAGAAATCTCACAAGGACTAGAAAGGCCATTGACATCTCCCATTGCCCCTTTTCTTGTGGCCACTGCTGAGGCTGCTGTAGGAATCATGGAGCATAAGTCCCCAATAATTTCCTCTCTAGGCTGTATTTCCTCTCTAGGCTGGGACACATTGGACCCAACAACTAAGGGTATGGCTACACTACAAAGTTAATTCAAACTAACAGCCGTTAGCTCGAATTAACTTTCATAGGTGCTACACTTGCAAACCACTAGTTCGAACTTAATTCGAACCAGCGGAGCGTTTAATTTGAACTAGGTAAACTTCAGTCTACGAGGACTAACGCCTAGTTCGAATTAAGTAGTTCTAATTAAGAGCTGTGTAGCCACTTAATTCAAACTAGTGGGGGGCTAGCCCTTCCCAGCTTGCCCTGGTGGCCACTCTGGGCCAAACCAGGGAAACTCTTCTGCCCCCCTCCCGGCCCCGGAGCCCTTAAAGGGGCACAGTCTGGCTATGGTGCTTGTGCCAGGTGCAAGCCTGCCAGCACCTAGCCAGCAGACCCTGCACCTGGCACGGCATGAGCCAGCCAACCGCTGCCACCCAGCCCTCCGCCTCTTCCCGGGACCAGGCTGGCGGCTCCCAGGAGGCCACCCCAGG